TCAAGTCCGGTGCAAAAACGCATGATCGCACGGGCCCGCCCGGTGCGTTTCAGCCTGGGTTTAATAACTGTTTTGTAAGTAAATGATGTCGGGATTTCGAAATTCCTTAACACTGGTCGAGATCGCACTAGGAATTTATCGCACACGTCCAGCGACCCGCCACTCTTTGCTGCTCGTAGGATCGGTTGAGGCTTTTTTCTAAGAAATAGGGATTGGTAAATCAGACTAGTGGACATACCTTTCGAAACAGTCGACTGAACATTAGATCGCATTCATTCAGTGGGTGACTGCGACTTTTTCCGATTCAGTAAATGAACTCATGAAAACAGTTTAATTGTTGAGAAAGTCACGAACTTTTCAATGGTCGTCCAGCTCCAAGATTCCACACATCGAACCACACCCAGGGTTTCTGAAGGAGAAATGTATTGTCATATCTATCAGACACTGAGTGAAATGTCTCCCTTCTTAGTTTATTATTCTTTTCAATCAGTTTCATGCCACTGCTCAGCTTTTTTTCAAACAGTTTTCTGCTCAGCGGTTCTTATCAGCTATAAAAACAAGCGACCGGCTGTGTTCTAACTTCCAACTAAGTTTAGCGTACTTTTTCGTCTGAATTTCAGTAGTACTTTAAAAATTTTGACGTAGTTCAATCATAAAAAAGGAACCTAACATTCTTTGAATCAGCAGATATGTCACTAACACGTGCAAATATTCAGCAGTGAGAGAAGACCTGAGCGAAACTTCTTCAACAGGTCGACGATTGATAGCACTTCGCCCCTCATAGCCAGCTTTAAAAACTATTCAGCTGATGATTACTGCTTGCTTGTTGCTTATCCACCTAAGTTCATCTCCAAGCTCACATGTACACCGATAGACAGACATCCAGAAACACATATGTACAGCAACAGACAGGGTACGTAACAGTGGCAGCTGTCCAGCTGAGTGAGCAGAGGGTGTATCAGTGTCATAAAGTGGTCGTTACAGCCTATCAGCAGCACACCGGCAATCTTCGCAACATTCCGGATCGAAGCGGTCCTCGGCCTGACATCGATGATCATTCACTCTGCGTTTTTTTGACAAAGAAGGAAGCAGCACTTTGCTTATTGAACTGCATGGAATCCCCTGAACTTTTAATATATTTACACTGCTTTACGCTTGTGATTAATGTTGCATTCAGGACAAATCCACGTTCACCTCCACTCTGTGACTGGTGAGGAAAAGTACAAATATAAATGCCCTAGCATGTGTTATATCTTTTGTTGGATACGCAGAATAAGAAATTATTCTTTTCTTAGTCTTCTCTTTTGTTGCAGTGAAGAAGAAGGGAATATAGCTGAAAATCATACCAAATACTAATAATTCAGGAAGAGTTCGTTTCAGACTCATGCAGTCAAAAGCTGACACCAGTTCTCCTCTCCGTCTCGCTCGTCTGAGCCCCTTCATCATCCAGCTTTGGCATTTAGCCCTCGCAACAACCTTCTGGTTTTTATTGTGCATTTTAAATAAATAAGGAAATCATTATGTCGAGACCATCTTTATATGTATGCATCTGCCTGTTGTAGTCGTTCAACTCAGGAATTGCGATAGCTGGGTCAATTTTTTGGGAGTGCAGCCATGTTCTGATCTAGAAGCGTGAAATCGGTTACCACATCTTCTGCATTTTGAAGTACGATCGATTATATCAGCAGTTTCGTTGGTGCAGCATTGTACTCGAAGCAGGCAACCTCAAGTGCAC